ACCAGCCAGGTGTGAAGTCCACACATGTCCAAGTTGCAAAGATTGAGAAACACTAAATTGACTAAATTCCTCAGAACTGTTAAGGCCTTTTTTTCTTTTCTTCTTCAGAATTCTTGGCTTTCCTTTCCTCTTTCGTGGCATTCAACAGGCAGGAAACAAGAAGTAGGCTTTTCACCCTAAACGCAGGGAGTTCTCAGATTATGACCACAATCGAGCCCCTAGAATTTAGGTTGCGAGATATTGGATATGTGAGCCTGGTCCTCTTTTACAACTTTCCTTGCCACATGTGATGATGACCTAGGGCACGGCACAGAGATAACACAAACAGCTGGCAGTTCAAACCGCCCCTTTATTGCTCCAAAGCTCCCCAAATGCTCCTACGTTTCTGGCAAGTCCCAGAGCAGAGTGAGAACAAGCCCCCACACAAACCTCAAGCAGCCTCTGACTGCAATTAATCCAGCCCAGCGCTGTCTGCACCCAGGCTGCACGGCAATAAATCCCAAATATCTTTGGCAAAACAAGAGTCAAGCAAGGAGTTCGGGGAGCAAAAGATTCAGATAATTAGTCCAGAACGCCAACAAGGAATGCAAGGACTCTTGGCAAGTTCAAACGTCCGGCCTACAACACTTCAGGAACTCAGCGTTTGTTCCCGACTAATGCCCCTCCCCACGGTGTCTCCTTAAGTCTCATTCCCCAGGTGTGCCTGGTGAAGCTGGGCGGGGCACTCTCCTCCCGAGTAGCCTGCTCAGTCTGCCCTCTCGCTCGCTGTCAGTTCTTGTTCCAGCTCATCTTCCGCCGCAGATTCAGACTCCGACGGGGGGGCCTGACACCATGGTCGTTAAGCGAATCACTGCAGTTAATTAATTAATTAATATTTATTTTAGGGATTTTATATTGCCGCCTGTTTGCACATGCTGAACTCAAGGCGGCTTACAGAATATAAAACCTCGTATAAAAACAACACAACTAATGAAAGAAGAGTCACAGAATAGATTAATATAGTAAAACGTTATTCACCCAGTTGTTAAGTCAATCCGGCTTTCTCCCGTGGACTTTGCTTATCTGAAGGTCACAAAAGGGGATCATGTGACACCCCCTCCAGGGACATACCAACCGTCATAAATGTGAGTCAGTGGCCGAGCATCTGAATTTTGATCACGTGACCATGGGGAGGCTGCAACGGTTGTAAATATGAAAAATGGTCACTAAATGAACTGTTGTAATTCGAGGACTACCTAAAGGCATCTTTTCTGATCCACTGCTTTGCTTAGAGGGGAGTTTCTCACCAGCCATGGAGGAACCTCTGAAGATAGAAGACGTGCCAGCTCTTAATACTGAAAATGAAGAAATTTTGAGACCCAAGATAGTCCTCGACTTACGACTGTTAATGGAGACTGTTCCTTCTGGTTGTAAGCCACGACGGTTGTAAAACGACACACAAATGGTCCAATTTTACGTCCTTTTTAGTAGCGGTTGTTTAACGCTGCCATCTTAAAGCCATTCTTTATGGATGTGGTTTAGCTGATAACCAGAAATAACTGCCTTTTTCGGGGTGGGGGGGGGCAAAATTGTCATAAAGTGTGGTTGCGTAACTGTGAGATGCTACAACTAACCGTAAACAGCCAGAACCCTGTTATCTGTCGAGCCTCCAAAGTTTACTTATGTGACCGTGGGGAAGGTCCAATTGTTGGAACTTCGAATCATCAGTAGGTCCATTGTAACTTTGAATGGTAAATTGAGGACTTCCTGTGCCTTAATCTCTATGAATTTTGTTGAAAAGTTGTCCTGTTGTTGTGTATACTTAGTTTCTCAACGGTTTTTCCATTCAACCTTGTGGAAACGATCCTTTACATTACAACTCCCAGAATCCTTCACAACCCATTCCCATGTTTGGGGAATGCTGGGAGTTGGGGTTGTGCCATGTCTAGAAGGCATCAGTTAAGTTAGAGACATGGAGAAGTCAGTGGGGGGCTAAGAAGTGGCGTCAAGAAAGTGGAATGGTTCCACAGAGAGGCCACCCCTTCATGTGGTTTGGGTTGGGTTGGATTGAGTTGGGTTTAGCGCATTACAAAGATCTTTGTGTTAGTCAGCTCAGCTATCATTGTTGTAAACCATGGTCAATGGGCTTTATGATATGGAAGAGGTGAACCATCCTAGTTTGTAAATCAGAACTGATGATTTTGTGTTATGGGTGAACTCAAGCCTCCTGGCTTATAAACAGTGGTTTACAGAGGTGTGAAATTGATGTAGACATCTGGACTAGAAGAGGGGCTCAACCTCCCCTCCAAAACACCTGAGGGTAGGACGAGAAGCAACGGATGGAAAGAAGGACTAGGGGAGACATGATAGCAGTGTTCCAATATTTGAGGGGTTGCCACAAAGAAGAGGGAGTCAACCTATTCTCCAAAGCACCAGAGGGTAGGAAAAAGAAGCAATGGGTGGAAACTAATCAAGGAGAGAAGCAACTTAGAACTAAGGAGAAACTTCCTGACAGTGAAAACAATTCATCAGTGGAACAACTTGCCTCCAGAAGTTGTGAATGTTCCAACACTGGAAATTTTTAAGAGGAGATCGGATAACCATTTGTCTGAAGTGGCATAGAGTCTCCTGCCTGGGCAGGGGGTTGGACTAGAAGACCTCCAAGGTCCCTTCCAACTCTGTTATTCTATTCTATTCTATTAATGAAGGAGAGAAGCAACCTAGAACTAAGGAGGAATTTCCTGACAGTGAGAACAATGAATCGGTGGAACAGCTTGCCTCTAGAAATTGTGGTTGCTCCAAAACTGGAGTTTTTAAAGAAGAGATTGCACAATGGTAATCTCAAATGGTATAGGGTTTCTTGCCTGAGCAGGGGGTTGGACTAGAAGACCTCCAAGGTCCCTTCCAACTCTTGTCATTCAGACTTCTCAGCAAATTTTCTTTCATGCCCTAAGGTTTAGGCGTGTTTGTGTGAGAGAGTGAACACGAATGTCCCAAGACTTACAGAGAGATGGTTCCCTCGTCGTTTCGTCTTTGACAGCCCTCTCCTCAAAAAAAGAGTGGACCTTCTCGTCCACTCTTGCCCTGTTTGCATAGCTACTCCATCCCTTGACCCCACAAGCCCACCTTGGAAGTCCAGCTCCCACACCGTCTCCCCTAAAAGTCAGGAAAGGGACATCCTCAAGGGAACGATTTCCATAACTCATGACAAACTTAGTTGGGAGAAGGTTGTTTTTCTTCCCGGCTGAGAGATCCCTCGATCTTCACATCTGATCAGTCAACATAACAACCTGCTGTTTTGATCCTCCGGGAGCAGAAGGTGTTGGCTGGAACAATATTCCTCCAGGCATATCCAGATGTTTCTCCTGGAAAAAAAGCAGGAAGCACACGGTTCCTAACATGGAACATCTTTGTAACAGAATAACATTGGACATTGGAGGTCTTCTAGTCCAAACCCCTGCTCAAGCAGGAGACCCTATCCTATTTCAGAGAAATGGTTGTCCAATCTCTTTTTAAAAATCTCCAGTGATGGAGCACCCACAACTTGTGGTGGCCAGTTGTTCCACTGGTTAAATTGTTCTCACTGTCAGGAAGTTTCTCCTTAGTTCCTTAGTTCTTCTTAGTTCTCCTTAGTTCTTCTTAGTTCAAGGAGCTTCTCTCCTTGATTAGTTTCCATCCGTTGTTTCTTCTCCTGCCTTCTGGTGCTTTGGAGAATAGGTTGACCTCCCTCTTCTTCTTTGTGGCAGCCCCTCAAATACTGGAAGACTGCTCTCATGTCACCCCTAGTCCTTCTTTTCATTAAACTAGACATGCCCAGTTCCTGCAACCGTTCATCGTATGTTTCAGCCTCCAGTCCCTTAATCCTCTTTGTTGCTCTTCTCTGCACTCTTTCCAGAGTCTCAACTTCTTTTTTTAATACTGTGGTGACCAAAACTGGATGCAGGATTCCATGTATGGTCTTATAAAGTGGCCTTAACCAGTGGTGGGTTTCAAATTTTTTTACTACTGGTTCTGTGGGTGTGGCATGGCTTGGTGGGTGTGGCAGGGGAAGGATACTGTAAAATCTCCATTCCCTCCCCACTCCAGGGGGAAGGTTATTGCAAAATCCCCATTTCCTCCCGATCAGCTGGGACTTGGGAGGCAGAGAATAGATGGGGGTGGAGCCAGTCAGAATTTTTACTACCGGTTCTCAAAATTTCTGCTATGGGTTCTTCAGAACTGGTCAGAACCTGCTGAAACCCACCTCTGGCCTTAAGGTTCCCTATGATCTTGATTCTATCCTTGTTCGTGCTATTTAGAATTGCATTGTCAACCTCCAGCCAGAATGAATTCCACCGTTTTGTTTTTTTTAATTTTATTTATATGCCACCCTTCTCCGGAGACTCAGGGCGGCTTACAATGCGTTAAGCAATAGCCTTCATACTTTTGTATATTTATACAAAGTCAGCTTATTGCCCCCACAAACTGGGTCCTCATTTCACCTACCTTAGAAAGGATGGAAGGCTGAGTCAACCTTGAGCCTTGGAGAGATTCGAACCAGCAGTAAATTGCAGGCAGCTGTGTTAATAACAGGGTGCTTTAGACCACTGTACTATCAAGGCTCTTCATCACCGTTGAACTCTGAGCTGCCCCCAAACTGATTTCTCGTTCCGATTCCTGAGAAAAGCTTAACACTTCACGTCATCCTGATTAGTGTTAAGGCAGGTTGAGTTTATCCTAGGCGACCCTGGTTTATCCTGGGCCTGAGACCTTCAACCAGCCTTGGGAAGGTTGGGAATTAAATTTGGCAACAGTCCAAACACCCTGCTCGAACAGGGCAGTGACCTTAGTGTCTCTCTCCGTGTGTGACGTAGCTGAAGAAGAAGAGAAAAGGAAGGGAGAAAACCACACACTCTGTGCAAGGCTGTGCAGTGGGTGTGTCAGGGCGTGGGTGTGCACAAACGGCAGCCACAGGGCAGAGGAGGATCTGGGGCGGATCCAGGATCTCTCCACCTGCTTATAAGCTGGGGAAGGTTTGGATTCTGAACATGAGCTCCAGAGAGTTGTGGCTGAGAAGTTCAGAGCCAGGCATCTTCTAGGCTTCTTCCACACCTGTATTGTCAGCTCCAGGAGCCATGGGGAGGCAGAAGGAAGTGCTGTCGGCTATCGGACGGAGGCTGCGGATCAGGAATAAGCTGCTCCGGCAGGGCCTGGCTGAATGCTTGGGCACCCTGATCTTGGTGGTACGTAACTGGTTGGGGACTGGGGTGGGGAAGAAGGGAGGAGAAGGAGGAAGAGAAGCGAGAAGGAGAAAAAGGAGAGAGAAGGGGAAGGAGGAGGAAAAGAACAAGAAGGGGAAAAAGGAGAGAAGAGGAGGAAGAGGAGAAGGAGGAGAAAAGGGAGAAAAGGGAGAAAAGGAGGAGGAGGAGGAGGAGAACAAAAAGAAGAAAAAGAAGAGAATGAGGAGGAGGAGGAGAATGAGAAAAAGGAGAAGAGGAGAAGAAAAAAGAGAAAAGGAGGAGGAGGAGGAGAAAAAAGAGAAGAGGAGGAGGAGGAGAACAAGAAGGAGAAAAGGAAGAGAAAAGGAATAGGAGGAGGAGAAATGATGGTAGTAGTGGAGAATGAGGAGGAGGAGAAGGAGAATGAGGAGGAGAAGAAAGAGGGAAAGGAGAAGGCAAGAAAGAAAGAAAGGAGAAGGCGAGGGAGAAGGAGAAATGAGGATGGAGGAGGAGGAGGAGAATGAGAAGAGGAGAAAGAGAAAGAGAAAGAGAGAAAGGAGAGAGAAAGGAGGAAAAGGAGAAGAAAGGGAGAAAGGAGGGGAGAAAGGAGGGTGGTATTGGAGGAGGAGGAGGAGGAGGAGAAGGAAGAGGAGATGAGAAAGAGAAGGAGGAGAAGGAGAAGAATGGGAAGGAGAGGAGGAGGAGGAGGAGGAGGAGGAGGAGGAGGAAGGCTTTACTCTCTTTGGCACAATGAAATGCCCTGATGGCGTATAGTAAATGTACCCTGAAATAATTCACTAAAGATCTATTTGCTCTGTTCACACAAGGCAAGAACCTTGGTTAATGTTAATCTTGGTCTGTTTTTACTCTGGCTGAATATCTATCCAAGTGAGGTCCAATCTCTTTGATTAACATTGGGTGGAAAGTACTGTTCTAACCTAGGAAATGGGCTTGTTTAGGGACCAGGTTCAGGCTGTTGTGTGAATGGAGCCGGTGACTGAAAATCACCGCTGAGGTTTTCTCACTAGTTGTGCCCATTACGGATTTGCTTCCAGAAGGGAGGAAGAATTGAAAATCCTTTCTACAACTGAGGATTTTGGGGTTTCACAGAGCTCAGTTAAAGCACTGTTGAAGTGTTCTGTCTAATTGGAAAGTTTGCACATTGAGTGTCAAAACCAAAATAGACCAAGTTTAAATTTCTAGTAAGGGATTTTCCAACTTTTTCCAGAATTGCTTCGGGGTTTGCTTTGTATAGCTAATATTTAGAGCGGGGGTATCCCAACTTGGCAACTTTAAAACAATTGGACTTCAATTCCCAGAATTCCCCAGCCAGCCATGCTGGGGGTTGAAGTCTACAGGTTTTGTGAGTTCAAGTCCCACCTTAGCCATGACTTTGGCCAAATTGGGTGGGTGACTTTGGCCCAGCCCCCCCCTCTCAGGATTGTTGTTGACAATACTCTTCATAACTCAGTAGTTCTTAACCGTGGCCACTTAAGAAGTGTGTACTTCAACTCCATGGGAATTGAGTTGAAGTTACTTTTGGAATTCTGGGCGTTGAAGTCCACCACCCATATTATAGTTGCTAAGCTTGAGAAAGGAAGGGAGGGAGGGAGGAATGGGAGGAGAGAAGGGAAGGAAAAAGAGAGAGAGGAAGGGAAGGGAAGGAGAGAGAAGAAGGGAAAGAAGAAGAAGAGAGAGAGAGAGAAAAAGAAGGGAAAGGAAGGAAAGGAAGGGGAGAGAGCAAGGGAAGGGAGGAGAGAGAAAGGAAAGGAAAAGGAGAGGAAAGAGAGAGAGGAAGGGAAGGAAGGAGAGAAAGAGAAGAAGGGAAATGAAGGAAGAAGAGAGAAGGTTGGGAAGGGAGGAGAGAGAGGGAAAGGGAAGGGAAGGAAGAAGAGAGAAAGAAAGGAAAGGGAAAGGAGAGGAAAGAGAGAGAGAGGAAGGGAAGGAAGGAGAAAGAGAAAGAGAAGAATGGAAATGAAGGGAAGGGGAGAGAGCAAGGGAAGGGAGGAGAGAGAGTGAAAGGGAAGGAATAAGAGAGAAAGGAAAGGAAAAGGAGAGGAAAGAAAGAGAGGAAGCGAAGGAAGAAGAGAGAAAGGTTGGGAAGGGAGGAAAGAGAAAGAAAGGGAAGGAAGAAGAGAGAGAGATAGGAAAGGAAGGAAAAGGAGAGGAAAGAGAGAGGAAGGGAAGGAAGGAGAGAGAAGGGTAGGGAAGGGAAAAGAGAGAGAGGAAAGAGAGAGAGGAACGGAACGGAAGGAAAGTAAGAGAGAGGAAGAGGAGAGAGAAAGGGAGGGAAGGGAGAAAAAAGAGAAACACTGCTAACTTCGCAAGTTAATTCCCGTGAATAAATCACGGCTCCTTCTGTTGAAGTTTTGATTGAGAGCAAATCACCTTGGTACCACGGCACGTTCTTGGCAAACCTGTCCCACGTTTTGCACCACTGCAGCCCTGTTTCTCTTACTCCGGATCTTTTATGGAGATTGTAACTGAGCAGCTGCTTACGGACAATTAGGGTGAGCCTCCTGTCTGACAGTAGCTAAACTGTTGTCCACCCCATAACCTTACTTAAAGGATACTCATCGTGCAGTTTCCCCAAGGTTAGGGTTCATGTCGCATCTCTCCCTGGATAAGTAGAATTTTGTCAAAGTCATTCAATGGGCTCAATTCACGGAACCGAGGATCAGCCACAAGCTACAGGGAGTCCTCGACTTACGACCACAACCGAGCCCGACATTTCCGTCGCTAAGCGAGATGAGCAAATTTCACCCAGTTTTACGACCTCTCCTTGCCACGGTTCTTAAGCGAATCACCGCAGTAGTTAACCCAGCAACCCAATCTGGCTTCCCCATTGACTTTGAAGGCTGCAAAAGGGGAGCGTGTGACCCCGGGACATTGCAGCCATCATAAATACGAGTCAGTTGGCAAGTGTCTGAATTTTGATCACGTGACCACGGGGACGCTGCAATAGCGTGAAAAACTACCGTTTCCCCCTATTTTCAGGGCCTTTGTTAACTTCCAATGGTCACTACGCGAACTGTTGTAAGTCGAGTACTACCTGTGGGCTTTGAGTCTCGTTGGCCAAACTCGTTGGCCAAACTCAACCCAACTTCTCTAGCAAAGGATCTGGGAATCCTTTGAGTATTTCAACCCCTCCCTTGCAACATGAGTGCGGTGACGAAGGAAGGATGATTCTTTGTTTTTCTACTTTAAGTAAACTTTTCTGAGAACCTTTGGAGAGAGGCGCAACAATATTTACCCAACCACGACCATTTGATTTGCTTTTCCCAAGGTTTGGGATCACAACTCCCTAGCACCATTGGGAGAAGAAGGTGGGGAGGGGGAGGTGTCCCCCTCCTCTACTCAAAGAGCTGCTGGGACGTTTGCAAAAGCTGAAAAGCAACTGCAGCGAGAAAATAGCAGGGCGTTGCAATCTCAGCCATGCCCGTTTGCACCGATGTACCCGTGCCATTAACGCATTGTTTCTTTCATCCACCCGCTGTTCCCTTGTGCAGAGCCATTCCTGGAAATTAATGGAGCCCATTATTGTGATCCTATTGGGAGCCGCCCAGAGTCTGGTATAAGATGGGCAGCTGTATAAATCTCGTAGATAAATCTACGCAAAGATTTGTAACTGTGGAGCCCTTGGTGCTCTCTCTCTCTCAGCTGGGTGGTTGGCTTGCAGATGTTTCATGACCCAACAGGGGAACATCATCAGGGCTAGAAAGGAGTGGGGTTTGCAGAGAAGGAAGAGGAGGAGGAGGAGGAGAAAGAGGAGGAGGAGAAGGAAGAGGAGGAGGAGGAAAACTGTGGGGTCCTTGGTGCTTTCTGAGTTGGCGGTTTTCTTGTAGATATTTCATAACCTAACTGCTAGAAGGGAGTGGGGTTTGCAGAGAAGGGGAGGAGGAGGATGCAGATGATGATGATGAGGAGGAGGAGAACTATGGGGTCCTTGGTGCTCTCTGAGTTTGGTGGTTTTCTCACCAACGTTTCATTACCCAACTAGGTAACATCATCAATGCTAGAAGGGAGATGAGGAGGAGGAGGACAACTATGGAGTCCTTGGTGCTCTCTGAGCTTGCTTGTTTTCTTGCAGATGTTTCATGACCCAATTAGGGAACATCATCGGTAGTAGAAGGGAGTGAGGTTTGCAAAGCTTGGTTCTTTTCTTGCAGATGTTTCATTATCCAACTAGGCAACTTCATCAGTGCTAGAAGGGCTGGGTGGGTTGCTCTCTGTTTATATACTAGTGGCTTCTCCTGTCAACATCGGTGTGAATGTTCTTGGTAATTTCTTGATTCAGCTGTTCTTTACTGAGATGGTAAGCAGCCAAGAACAGAGAGCAAACCCCCTTCTATCACTGAAGGCATTGCCTTCGTTAGAACATAGAATAACGGAGTTGGAAGGGACCTTGGAGGTCTTCTAGTCCAACCCCCTGCTTAGCTAAGAAACCCTACACCACTTCAGACAAATGGTTATCCAATATCTTCCTAAAAAACTTCCAGTGTTGGAACATTACTACTTCTGGTGGCAAGCTGTTCCACTGGTTAATTGTTCTCACTGTCAGAAAATTTCTCTTTAGTCCCAGGTTGCTTCTCTCCTTGATTAGTTTCCACCCATTGCTTCTCATCTGCCTCAGGTGCTTTAGGAAATAATTTCACTCCTTCAATCCTTTGTAGGATATCAAATATTGTATAATTATTGTATAATAACTAATCATCTATTATGATCGTTATTGTCTAAAAGTATAGGCACTCTGCATATGGGCTGGAAGAATTCTCACGCAGCCTGGAGGAACATATTGCGTGGAATTCTGGGGAGCGATGCCCAGCCCTTTCGTATATATGCCCCTGACATCATTCTCAAGTTGATTTGATGCATACCTTAGCTGTCCTGAGCTTTCACCCTCGATAATTAACTGGCAAGCTGACAAAGAAAGAAATATTTGGCCAGCAACGGTGGTAATAAAATTATCTCCTATCTTCCCCCAAGGCCAAATTCCTAAAGGGTAATAGGGTTACTCCATGCCA